TTTTGCCTTTTTTCATTTTTACTTGCATGGATTTTTGTGCTTTGTTTTTTTATTTTGGTAAGATTGGCATAGGGTTTGTCTATTCTTTTTTTTTTTTTTTGGTACCAGAGGTTGAACTTGGGTCCTTGTGCCTGTGAAGCAGGCAGTGGAACCACTGAGCTAAATCCCAGGCCCAATTTTGTCTATTCTTTCAAAGAACCAATTCATTAATTCTTTCTATTGTTTTAAAGTCTCAATTTCATTAATTTATGTTTGAATATTTATAATTTCTTTCCTTGTACTAGCTTTGGGTTTGGATTGTTCTTGTTCTTCTAGGACCTTGAGGTACATAACTAGGTTGTTTGAGCTTGCTCCATTTTTCTAATGTGGTAATTCACCACTACAGACTTCTCTCTTAGGATTATTTTCATTATGCCCCATAGGTTCCAGTACATTGTACTGGCATTATCCTTTGACTGTACAAACTGTCTAATTTCTTTTGTCTTTGTTTTTTTTTTTGGTAATGGGGATCGAACTTGGGACCTTTCGCTTGTGAGGCAAGAGGCTGAACCACTGAGCAAAATCCCTGGGCCTAAACTGTCTAATTTCTTTCTCGATTTCATCTGTGCCTTATTGATTGATCAAGAGGGTATTGTTTAATTTCCATATGTTTGTATAGTTTCTGTGGTTTATTTTGCCATGATTTCTAGTTTCATTGCATTATAATCCAATAATATGCATGGGATAATTTTGATTCTTTTGCATTTACTTAAGCATGCTGGAACATTCTGTAGATATCATCCTTTTTTTTTTTTTTTGTACTGGAGATCGAACTTGGGTCCTTGCGCTTGTGAGGCAGGCGGCAGAACCACTGAACTAAATCCCTGGCCCTGTAGATATCTATTAAGTCTACTCGCTTGAAGGTTTGTTTCAACTTGATCCCTTTGTCGATTTTTTTGTCTAGTTGATCTGCCCTTTTGTGACAGTGTGGTACTGAGGTCCCCATTACAGTTTCACTGGTGTTATCTGGCTTTTCATGTCCATTACTGTTTGTTTAAGGAAGTTGGCCATGCTACTAGTATTTGGTGCATACATTTTTATAATTGTTATCTCTTCCTGTTGAATTGTTCCTGTAACCAATATGTAGTGACCTTCTTTGATGCTTCTGATCAGTTTTGGCTTGAAATTCACTTTGCCTGAAATTAGGATAGCTATTCCTGCTTTTTTTTCAGGTACCTGTTGCATGGAATATTGTTTTCCATCCTTTGATTTTTTAATCCATGAATTTCTTTTTGAATTAAATGTGTTTCCTGTAAATTGCATATTGTTGGATTTTGTTTCTTTAACCATTGTGTTAATCTATATCTTTTGATTGGGGAATTGAGGCCACTCACATTGAGAGTTATTACTGAAAGGTGTTGACCAATTCTTGTCATTTTATTATTTTTCTGTTGCTGATTTCCTTATTTTTTCCCATTTGCTTAGCTGCTCATCCCACCAGGTGTATTCATTCTTTTTGACTTATTGGCATTGTTGAATTGATTGCCTCTTTCTAAGATATCCTTGAGAATTTCTTATCATTCTGTTTTGATGCTCTTTGTCATGGAAATAACTTTTTCAAGTGTACCTTATTTCTCCATTGATTTTGAAGGAAAGTTTTGCAGGATACATAAGTCAGGGTGGGAAGTTGTTATTTTTTTTTTTAGGGCTTGACACACTTCATTCCAAGCCCTCTGGTATTTAACACTTGTGTTGAGAAGTCTGCTGTAATTCTAGTGGGTTTACCTTTATATGTGATTTATTTTTATATGTGTTTTCTCTCTCAAGCAGCTTTAAAGCTTTGGTCCCTGTGATGGGCTTCCGGTACTTTGAATATAATGTGGTGTGGAGAGGTTCTCTTGTCATCATAGCTATTTGGGGTTCTGTATGTCTCACTTATCTGTATGTTTATTTCTTTCCCTATATTTGGGAAGTTTTCTGCCATTATTTCTATGAACAAATTTTTCATGCCATTTATGTTGTCTGATGTTTCCACTTATTCCAGTTATTCTTAGATTAATCGTCTTTGCATCATCTAACAGTTATTGGATCCATTTTTCATGTTCTTTTGTTGCTTTTAAAGTGTCTTTGAGTAGTTGGTCTTTAACAGCATCATTGTCTTCTGAAATTCTGTCCTCACATAGGTCACTTCTGTTGCCCATACTTTCAATATGATTTTTAATTTTCTGGATTTCTGATTGAAGCTTTTTCATGGATTCTAAACTTTGCTCAACTGGTCATTTAAGTTTTATATCATTTAGCTCATCTAGCTTTTTATTTAGTGTCTTCTGAAAGCTCCTGGATCATTATGATTATTGCTCCCATTATCTGTTTATTTATATCTTCTGTGATCTTGATGAATACTTCTTTGATTCATTTTCTAACCTCTTCTGTTATCCTTTCAATTACTTTGAAAGTGTGGCTTATGCTCTTTTTCCCCTTGATGCTCTAAGTGGATCCAAGGGCCAGGCATGCAGGGTGAAGTTTCTGTGTTTTTGACCAGCTAGTGGGGCTCTGGCCAGCCACCCCTAGATGCCCCTTTCATCCTGGAACATCTCTGGGTCAGTATAGTCCCCATGTCAAGTTAGAAACCCACCCAGAACCAAACCAGTCTCTCCCTGCGGCCTGGCCTAGACTTCGACACCATTTGGTGGGCCTGGATCTCAGGATTGTCCTGTTACCTGGGGAGCCATGGTTGGGGCTGTCATTCCTTGGGAATCTCCTTGTCTCCCAGCCAGGGTGAAAGTGGCAGTGTGTGTTTGTTGGATGGGAAGCCAGGGTTCCATTGGAGCCAAACCTGCTCTACTGCTGCCCTTACGAGAGGAGAAGAGACAGGAGGGATTCCCATGTTTTGCACACCTGGAAAGACTGCCACTGGGATTAGTGAGGGAACAGGGACCTAAGAGGCCAGGCACAGGCCCAGCTATTCATCTTAACCCAGGAGGCTGGGTCAGCAGCAGCCCTGCCCTTGCTCCAGAGTGGACCCTCAGGTGGTCTGAATGTCATCATGGTGGCAGCAGCATCTGAACAGGCTCAGCACAGACATGGTCCCCAGTGTCCAGGCACAGAAGGGTGGACACCAGGCCCATATGGGCCTGACAGAGGGGCAGATGTCCACCCCTGTTCACCCTCTGCCTGGAATAGGCCTCTGCCCCTCTTTCTTGGTTGCTGTTTCCCAGCATCCACTGCGTCCTGTGAGCTGGGTGTGGCTGCCCTTTACAATGCCGAAAGGCCCTCCTGCTCCCCAGCCATAATGTGGCTGCTGCTGTGAGACCTGTTATACCTGTGGCCAAGTGTGGGCATGAAGTGTGGCCCCAGCAGTGTTCTTGGATGGTGCACCCTCTTAGCTTGCTCTGGGACTAGGAATGCCCAGTCAAAGCAGGAGTGATTACAGTATGGTTCTGCCCAGGACAGACTCAGAGGTCACAGTGGTGGCAGGGGAACCTGGAGTCCTTTTGCCCTGTCCTTTTCCTCTGTACCTGAGTGTTGTTGAGGGTGGTGACTGTCCTAGGATCTTGGTATCCTGAATGAAGAATCAAGCAGGAGACACAGAGGGAGAAGTGAAAGCGTAGATTTATTAGTCAGGCTGTGCTCCTCAGGGTAGGAACAGACTAGAGAAAAGAGCTCACAGCCCGAAGCAACGAGATGTCAGCCCATATATGGTTTCTACAAGGAGGAAGTAGCTCTTGAAATAGCAGTTCATTCCAATCAGGGACAAGTTCCCTCCTTTCTATTGGAGGGGGAAGTTTTTGTCCCTGTATGGACCTTTGAGGAGCTGTCATATTATTAGGCAGATAGATATTAGCAGGCCTGAGGGGAGGGGGTCTAAAATAGCATGCATTGCCAGTTGTTACAGGAATATATCAATGTATAATACATTTATGATCATTTGTTAGGTTTCAAACCCAAAGCAATCTTACAGAGCAATTGTGACATCTTCAGATTACACATTGTGCACTTTCCTCCTGATACCCGGCCACCTGCCTAACTCCAGGGCAAGGCACACAGCATTCCTGGCTGCCATAGCCTAAAGTCAATGACATCAGGAAGGGAAATGTTCTTTAAGACCCTGCTGCCTTGGGCTGGGACCTGGTTTAAATGAAGAACTTATCTTTTGGAAGTTTCTTACGCCACTAAAGCCCTTGAAGAAACACTGACATCTAAATAGGACAGAAAGACATTTGCAATTCCTACGTAACTTCTAAGTAAAATGGTGATAAGCATCATAATTACCCAAGTTCTCTGGATCTCAAGAGTAACTCTCAGGTGCATAAAAATGCCCCAAACTTCTAGGTACATATACTCTCTTGGCACTGCCTGCCGTCTTGCCTGAAGATGTAACTCTATGTACTTTATAACACGTTCGACTTAGACTTCTGCACGGCCTATGTGTCCTGACTTAATTATCAAGGGCACAAAGAACCCGGGACCAAGGAAGTGAGGGGCAGGTTCCTTGTTGTATCAGGATCCTGATTCCCAGTGATAGTGATGCCCAAAGCCCAGGAAGGGGGAGGGATGTCAAAATCACAATGTAAACGAGATTATTATTACAATTATAATTGAGTTGCGGTCACTTTCAGGAGTGTATTTGTGCACTTGTTGGATTCAAGAGAGCTTATCTTGGTCCCCTGGAAGCCTATTGCACATGCATCCTCTTGTCCCTCCTAGCCAAGATCTACCTGTCAGAACTGGCAATCGCTGTGGTTTTTAGAGAGCCAGCACCTTTTTTTTCTCTGGCCTTCAGGCCCCCTCCATCCAGGAACTTCTCTCTGCCTCCTGCCAAGCTAACATCAGGCAGCAGGCTGTGGGAGTGACGGTGGTGTGAGCTCTCCCTTTGCCCTTCCTTCCCTCATGGGCCTCCTGGACAAGGAGCACAGACTCAGAGACCAGTGGGGTTGTGTTTATTTAACAGAAAGGGGGCTCCATCAGGGAGGTGGCTTTGGGGGCAGTGGGTGGTCAGACCTGTGCTATCAGAGGGATCTTCAGGCATTGTGCCCGGTGGGGCAGCTCGATGGCTCCTTAGGTAGAGTGACAGGGGGTGAGAGACAGGAGGCACCTGAGAGAGGACAGCAGAGAAAAGATGACTGGGGTTTAGGTTTGGGGGAGGGGAAGAGCAAAGGCAGCCCTGAGATGTGCAGCCCACCCTGCCCTGGCCTCCCATCGCCCCCTGCCCAGCCATACTCACAATCTGTTCAGTCATCAGATGCACTCATCTGCGAGGAGAAAGAACATCAGAGCAGACAGGTGTGCATGTGTGGATGAGTGTGTGTGTGTGGGATCTCTGGCTGCAGGGACCCCTGCACTACCCCTAGCAGCCTTAGACCCAGCCTGGCCCGGCTGTACCTCAAGGATCTGGGGGGTTCCCTGAAATCAGTGCCTGGGGATGGGCTGCCCTGAGGACCTGGAAGCCACTACCTCTCCAGTGACTGGAAGAAGAAACTGAGTCTCTCCTGTCCCCTTTCCCTGGTGGAGCAGCATCAGGCCTGGATAGACCCCACATCCCCTTCCCCTCTCCCCAGTTAGCCATTACCTATGGGATCAGTAAAGATAATGTTGTCCTCAGTGAAGCCTACAGACTTGACAAAGTTGACAAAGCGCTCCTTCAGCTCAGGGCTCAGCTCCTTGGTTCTCCCTGTGGTTAAGATGGTGGTGAGTGGACAACACAAGACTCTTCGTAATATTATTTTTTTCCAAGTTTTTTTTTTGAGACAGTCTTATTATGTAGTTTGGACTGACCTTAAATTCCAAACCCTCTTGCCTCAGCCTCTCAGGTGCTGGGGTGACAGGTGTGGACTACCCCCCGGCCCATTATATTATTGAGTGATGAACAAGGTCTCAGACCCCTCTCCCATGGACACCTCTCCCCTCTCTCTCACCTCAGAACCCTCTCCCCTCTCCAAGTCCCCCTCCTTCCTGAGGGGGACTCAAACTGGAGACGACTTTGGGATCTGGGGCATAGAGGGTCTCCTCCCCCAGTGTGACCAGGATCCGGGTCCCTGAGGGGATGGAGTGAGGACCTACCATAGACAATGGTTTTGAAGTACACCGTGTCTTCAAAAGTCTTCTCTGAGAACACTACGGCAAACTGCTTGTAGTTGGTGGCTACCACTCTCATGGTGTAGCTCTGTGTTCCAGTGGGCCCTACAGTATGGAAGGCCCTGGTCATGAGGAAGGGACTGTCCCCCTCCCTGACTGATCAGCAGGGCATCTGTGTGGAGGGACAGGGAGGCCTGTGCCCTTCCAGGAGGCCTGAGCTCCCCCATCCCAGCCCTGGGGTCCCCGTTACACAGACTCACATGTCGTGTTGCTCAGGGTGTACTGACTTCGGTGGACACCTGGGACGAAAGTGTAAGTCTGATTTTCACACAAATCCTCCCTGTGGGAACAAGAGATGGAGGCTGAACTGGAAGATGACACAGACCTGGTCCCTCTGGGCTGGAGGAAGGCCCAAGGCAGCAGCAGGACCCCCACTCTGTTTGGGTCCCAGTCCACCCTCTCCTTGACCCCGGGCCTTCCCCTGAGCCTCTGCCTGGCCTTCTACGGGGCCACTGGACCCTCCCCCCAGCACTCACTGTCTCCTTTGCAGCCTCCTGGGGCGGCCTGTCCCACACACAGACCCCAGGCACTGAGCCCTGCTCTATCCTGCTGCTCCCCCTTTCCCATCTCTCCTGGCAATTTCCTCTGAGCTTCCAGTCTGTCTGAGCCAAATTCTGCCCAGCTCTGTAGCAACCTGAACTCTCCAAGTCTACCCCAGCCCTGCATCCCAGAGTCACCCCCCACACCTGCCCTCCTGGACCCTTAGATACTCAAATGCTCCAACTGCAGCCCATACAGTGGACAGAGCCAAAACGCACTGAAGGAGGATGAGCCTGGGCTCTCTCCTCTCTGAGTCCTCATCTGCCCCACCTCCGTCATCTCCTGCCTGGGACTGCCCAGCTTTACCTTCTGGGTTCCCCCACCTTCCTTGATGCAGCTGAGCTCAGACCCTGGCCCTTGCAGGAGCCCCAGGCCAGGACCTGCCTCGGGGTGAGATTGCCCAGAGACTGGCCTAGGAGTCCCTTCCCATCTGCTCATCAGCCCTTGCTCAGGTGCCCACGCTGCTGGCTGGATGATTTGCTGCCTGCTAAGGTGAGGCTTTCTGATTCAGAGAATACTAGCCCTTGGTGGGACCCGTATACCTCCTCTTTCTTTAGGCAGTGGTGGTGGTAATGGGGGTTGAACCCGGGGCCATGGCACTGAGCTACATTCCCAGGCTTGCTTTTATTTTTTATTTTGAAACAGATACTCGCCAAGTTGCCCAGGCTGGTTTCAAATTTGTGATCCTCTTGCTTCACTCTCCTGAGCTGAGTCTGCTAGGATTGTAGGCATGGACCCCCAAACTTGGCAGATTGGCTCCTTAAGGTCACTTCTCTACAAGCCCTAGAGGGAGGCCTTGGGTGGGGTCCTAGGCTGGATCCAGTGTCTCTCCTCCCTCTCTGGGACACCCTATTCTCAGTCTTGTTTTCTGCTGCGTGTGTTTGTACTGGAGCTACTCATGAATGTTGATGGAGAGGAGGGAGAGAAGGAAGGAGGGAGAAAGGGAAAGGGAGAAAGAGCGGAAGAAAGACAGATTTGGTGCAGAGCAGTGCAATGAAGGACAGTTTCCCTCAGCTTAGGTCACCCTTTGGCTGTGACATCACAGCCTTAGGAAGTGGCGGCTTCACCTGATCAGAGCGGTGGTGACATTGTAGCTGTGGTCAGCATCATTTAGCTCGAAGGTGGTGCTGTACATGCTTAATTGGTTTCCATTCTGAATTGTGTTCTCTGCCACACCCAAGACGTACCACTTCCCCTGGAACTGCAAGGGGCCCATGACAGGCAGAGCCCGGGGATGGCCCCAGAGCCCCACCCATGCTGCCCCTGCTGCTACCTTTGGGCAGTGCTCTGTACAGCAGGGCCGGTGGGTGGGGCTGCCCCTGAGAAGCTCATAGGAGCTGGGTCCTCCAGGGCCAGGAGGGACCCTGGGTGAGGAGTTAGCCCTGAATTGTCAGGGATGGGGTGGCCCTGGGCAAGTGGCTGGTGGTCTTTCTGAGCCTCGGTTTTCTTGTCTGTGTGGAGGGATGATGATTCCCCACCTGGCATGCGCTGGGCCTGGACTCCCTGAGTCCTGATCCTCCCACCCACCACTGCCCCTGAGCCCCTTTGTCTCTCCTCCCCTCTGCCCCCTACCCTCTCCCCTGGACCCTGCATACAGCTGTCCTTCCAGAGCCCTTACCTGGTCATCCTGGAACTCTGGCTCCATTGGGCCTATGTGCAGAGGAATGGGTGGTATCAGGGTTGGAGTGGAGTTCTGGGCTTGGGTCTGCAGGGCCCCCAGCAGGGGGAGGCCCAGCCACAGCAGACCCAGGGTCATGCCTCCAGGACAGCTGCTGGGCTGGCAGGTGTTGGAGGAGGAAGAGGAGGGCTGAGGAGGCTGGTGTGGAGGAGCTATTTATGGACCACCTGGCTGCTGACCCCTCCCTTGAGAAGGCTGATTGAGTAAGGTTGAGCCACTTGTCATCAGCTCCTTCAGAAACACGTGGCAAGCTCTCTGTCTCTTCTTCCCCTCTGGTCAGAATTGTGCAAGGTAGAGGTAGGGGATGCAACAGGGGACAGAAGGGACATTCCCAACCTCCACAGTGTGGCAGGGCTACGTAGCCATGAGCCACGCCAATGTTGAGCCATCCTTGCCAAGTGGAGCTCGAGCTGAAGGGGCATGGGACCCTCTAGGGTGAAGGCAGCATCCTGCTTTGGGACAGGAAGCCTCATGCAGTCTGGGTTCAAGGGGAAAGTTTCTGTGCGCCTCGTGAGGAGGGTGTCAGCTCCACACACCAGCTTTGTGTGAGGCTCAGCATACAGAGGGTTGGGGGACAATGGAGTAGACATCCTGGTGAGACTTAGGCTCACTTTCAGGCTCCGAGGTAGACAGGATACTAGAGGCTCCAGCCTCTACCCACTCCTCTCACACTGGGCCGCCGGCCAGGGGGAGGACTCAAAGGTCCATACTGTTTAGAGCCTTTGCACTTGGAATGTTTCCTCTTGTATGTGTGGCACCATGCGTTGGCATGCTGAGCACTGTTCTGTCCCCACCCCGTTCCTCTGTTGCCAGAGTGACCCTGAACTGGTCCCACACAGCCACCACACCAGCTCCTGTGCTATCTCTGAGGGACTCCAGACCCTTTTATCGAGCCCTCAGCAAGCCCTGAAGAAGCTTTTGGGCTGATTCCCTGCTGAGAGAAGCCAGAGGTTGGCTCCTGAAGTCCCTCTCTGGATTGGTTTAGCAATGTGGATCAGGTCCACACTTGGGTTTCCTGTGGCTAGAAGCCAGGAGAATTTAGGCTACTCTGGACATAGCCCCCTGGAGGCTCCCTGGAGGGAGAGCACATTGGCCTGTCTTCCCAGGGACAGGCCTGGACCCACTTGGGTCCAGATGGCCCCTGAGGGGAGGGAGAAGATCCCTGTTCTTGCATCTCAGGAATCCAGTCTGACCCTTGGTCTGATTTCCAGAAGAGCAGCACGTGAGCAGTGTCTGTCCCCACTATGAGAGACACAGGGAGCAGGGTTGACCTGGGCCAACAGAGATGAGGTAAGAGGCTGCATGGTGGGAAAGGAGCAGAGGAAAACAATGCTGAGAATGGTCACAGAGGCATTGGCCTGCAGGGAGAATCACCTCCTGCTCCCTTCCTGTGATCCTCAGAGTCACTTCTCATGGGTGCCATGTTCTGCAGCTACTTGAAGAGCAGGCAGGAAGAGGTCACAGGGTGCAGGACTGGGTGCCTTTCCTGGGGCCCAGAGTCCCTCAGGTGGACACTAGCCTGCCCAGGGTCACTGAAGCCCCTAGTGTCCCTCCCTAGGACCTTGGCTTGGGCCTGCCAAGACTGCAGTGGCTCATGGTCCCCAGTCTCACCAACATCTCTGGGTGCCCTCCTGGGTTACCTCATCCTGACAGTGCTTTGGCCCCTGCTCCTTGCTACCTGTACTGCTGGGTTCCCTTGATTCAGGCCACCTCCTCCAGATTTCTTGTGGCCCCTTATCTTGGGCCTCTTCCTCCCCACAGCCACAGGTCCCCTACAGTAACACCCTTGGCCTCTCAAGGGCAACTTTCTTCACAGTGCATTTCCTACTGTCATCATCCTCTGCAAACTGGGTCACCCCAGAGCCCCCCACATCAAATTATTACAACACATTGCTACACACTGGTAGCTCAAATCTGAATCTTCCAAAGGCCAGAAACAAAATATCTGAATTCATTTTGCGCTGGAATCAAGGTGTGGGCAGGGTCTTGCTCCCTCCACAGGCTCCAAGGATGGACCTTGGCTCCTCCAGCTTCCTGGGATCGTGGCCTAATGCCCCTTGTTCCTGCCTCTGTCTTCTCAGGGCTGTCTCTTCTGTGTTTAATCTCCCTCTGTGTGTCTCACAGGACACTGACATTTATGTCCCAGCTGGATAATCCAGAATAATCTGTTTATTTTAAATCCTTAATTCATTTAAAAGGTAGAATGGTAAGAGGGAAAGAAGGAAGGAGAGATACAAAGAAGTGAGATTAAAAGGGGAAAGGCCAAGCACTGGTTTAGAATATCTGTCTTTTAGCCAAACGTTGAATCCCAGGCAAGCCTGCCAAACAAATGTCACGCTGTCAGGGTCATCAGAACCGAGGGAAATCTGAGAAAGTGTCATAGCCAAGAAGAGCCTAAGGAGACAGGATGACTGCTACGGTTTGGGTGTGATTTGAGTGTCCCCAAGGGTTCATGTGTTTGAATTTAATCCCCACTGTGAGATGTTAAGAGGATGGAACTGGGTATGGTTTAGACAATCAGAGAAGCGCTTACAGAAGTTGAGCCCAGAATGGGGTGCATGGAATGGCAGGATCTGGAGTCTTCTTGGGCAGAGGCTCCATACTTTCCCATGTGTGAGAACCTGGAGTCCTTGCTACCTATTCCCAGTGGTCCCCACAGCAACAGAGAAGTGCACAGCAGTCTCAGTTTGTCTCTGCTGCTCTAACAAAGCACTATAGACTGTGTCATTCATAAGTAATAGAGATTTATTTCTCACAATTCTGGAGGCTGGGAAGTCCACAAGGCACCAGCAGGTTTGGTGGCTGGCCTGTTTCTCATGGTTGGCACTATCTAGCTGTCCTTGCATGGTGGAAGAGATGGAGGGCAAAAAGGGCCTAACTCTACTGGAGCCCTACCTGAAGGCCTAAAGGCCTCACCTCTTGATACTTACTTGGGGTCTTAGGTTCCAACTGATGGGTTTGGCAGGGACACACACATTCAAATCACAGCAGCACTGTACCTGATGGAGCTTTCTGCCCCTTCACTTGTCCCTAGGGGAAGGAGGCTGTGCCCACTTGCTTGGCCTTAAATGAGAGCTGGACCAGGCTTAGGTAGGGTCGGGAAGAAGGCTGGAGAGGTGGCAAGGACAAAGGATGGGGTTGGGACAGGGCTGGTGGGAGGAATGGGCTGGTACCATCAGAGACTCGGGCTGAGACATGGGCAGGAGCAGGGGCCTCACAGCCCAGGCTGAGCAACCCTCTACCATACGGGGCCCTCACATTTGCTCAGAACTGGGCCTAGAACCCCAGATACAATGGGTGTCTTGGCCCTGTTGTTACCAGCTTTCTGGGGTTCTGTAGGGTCTTTTTAGGTCCTTGGTGTCTTGAACAAAGAACTGTGTAAGATATGTGATAAAGGTAGTGAGGTTTTGCATTTAGTAAAGTTAGGAAAAGAAGTGTGCTCTGCAGAGTGAGGGTAGGAGACTGAAAAGGTTCATGGTGACCATGAAGTTAATGGTAGAGGTCTTTGGCATCCATCATTCTTCAGGCTGACACCTGAGTTAGGCCACCCTATCAAATACCTGCTTGATTTTACACCGGAGGAATTGAAGATAGCACTTTCTTTTTTTGGGGTGAGGTACCGGGGATCGAATTGCAGACCTTGTGCTTGCGAGGGAGGCGGCAGCACCACTGAACTAAATCACCGGGCCTGTAGATAGCAGTTTCTGATTTGTCCCTAGTGAAAGTATTGGAAACTGTTTTGTGCATGTGCTTTGAATCTCTGTCATTGAAAGGGAATTGTTGGGGTGGGGATTTTGCCCAGTGGTTCCATCGCCTGCCTCGCAAGTGCAAGGACCCGAGTTCGATCTCCGGTACCAAAAAAAAAAAAAGAAAGAAAGGGAATGGTCACAGGGTCCACAATATTGATTATGCTCAAAGCAGGCTGTAAGGAGTGCAGACACTAAAGAGTTAACCCCATAATTGGCTTGTTTTGAGAAGCAAGTCCAGCCAAAGCCTACATGCTGAAGTCAGAGGAACTCGAACCCAAATTCCGTTGCCACAATTAAAACCTTCTTAACTAGAAGGACAAGGTTCTAATTATAACCTTATATTTTGTTTTTTCTGTTCCTAATTTGAGAATGCTCTGTCTTGTCCTTTATAAGCCTTGCTTGCATTAGTATCCGTAGTAACTGCATATTGCATGTCCTCACACTTAGTTCCCCTTTAGCACGAAGTTTGCCTCTACCCCAATTGATTACCAATAAAAATCAGTGGCTTGGACTAACCAGTGCTTTTGCTGGACGAGCAGCATTTGTTGTCTTGGCTCCCCAGTTTTTTGTCTCTTTAATTCTGTTTTTCAGGTTTTTTCTCAGCCTTGCACCATAGCACTGACCTGGAGATCAGAACCTACTGCAGAATTCTCTGATAAATGCCCACATGCTCAGCCAATTGGCCACATTTTAATCTCCTGTCTGGCTGTGGTCCTCTGCATCCTTGCTTATTAAGCATATGTGACCAGTGCTGATCACACTTGAGCATCGCAGTGAGGCAAGAGTCATTTTAGTTAGGGCAAAGGGAGAACTTTGCCAAGTATTTTGGTAGAGGGGCTGGTCATGGGGTTTCCTCCCTAGATTTAAAAAAGACGAGTCATCTTATGCTAGGATCTGGTAGTTGGTAGGTGAGTTAAAAATAGGATCAAGGCCAGGGATTTAGCTCAGTGATTCTGCCGCCTGCCTTGCAAGTGCAAGGACCTGAGTTTGATCCCTGGTACGCCCCCCACCAACAAAAAAGCAAAAAAGGATCTCCTGGCATCAGCCTTGCTGGTTTCACAGCCTCTCCCCATTTATTTTCACTTTTAATCCCAAGACCTGTCAATGTGGGGGATGCCAGTCATTATTACTACATTACTGAGGTTGGAGAAAGAGACGAGAGTGGATGGTGGATGGTTCTCCAGGCCTTGGTAGTGCTGCATGGACACAGGCTGTTTTGTAACAGGTCACATCAGCTAAGCCAGGTGTCTGGGAAGGGGAGAAGACTCACCAGGAGGGTGATCAAGGTACCAGGCCAGACCCTCCTGCTGAGCCAAGCTGGCTAAACTC